AAACTAAAACAAACAAACAAACAAATAAATATTATTTCATTTACGTCGCAACATCCTCCCCCCCCATACACACACAGAGACACCCATGACAAGTCTCATCACACTGTGATTCTATCAGTCATCTGTGCCACTCAGGATCCTGTGTGTATATGCTTGGCGTATTTTCAGGTCGACTCAGGATCTAAACCCAGATTAGCCATGTGGTTCTAGCATCACGGAATGATGCAATATTACCTACACCCCTGCCTGCACCACTGCAGTGGTGCACTGTAACCAGTTCAATGACATTAAGTGCATTCACTTTGTTATACAACCGTAAGGTTAAACGTCAGCCTCCTTGATTAGTGTTTGGAGTATTCTGAGCACTTCAGCTCCCTATCGATGTTCATATGTGGTTAATACCAGGCATCATATGTGGGTTTATACTATTTTACTCTTAGAAGGCGATGGCTTCTCTTATTTCTAGATTCTTGAGAAAATACCTTTTCCATTGTACACTACAAACATCTAAGCTAAGAAAATGTGCATTTCCTTTTTTGGCCTGCTCTATTATGATGCCGCTAAGACATCTCTTTGAGTTGCCACAGCATGGTCCTCACTTTGCTGTGAGCTGCTTAGTTGCTTAGGCACCTGGGGTGAGAAGAATGGGAAGTCTTTGGCCTGCTCTATTATGATGCCGCTAAGACATCTCTTTGAGTTGCCACAGCATGGTCCTCACTTTGCTTAGTTGCTTAGGCACCTGGGATGGGAAGAGTGGGAAGTCTTGGAGGCCTTGCACATCACCGCTCCTTAGCTTTGCATGGTCTGGGAGGCCAGTGTGATTGTAGTGGGGAAGAGTAATGAGTTTTGAGACATCCAGAGAAGAAGCCCTAAGCGAGGAGTCTTTTTTTTTTCGAGAGGTTTTTGCTATAGGGCGCGTGCGCTCACCAGAAAGACAGAGACAGACAGAAAGCGAGAAATCACCCCCTGGGGGGGATGGTCACACTGCAATCCCTTCTCCTCCATTCTCCTCCTGGGATCTTGGGCACACACGCACATGCGCCCAGCGTGAGTTTAAGCCACCGGGTCTGGGACTTGAACCACGGTTGACTACATGGGAGCCCAGCGACAAAACCATTATGTCAACTGCTGGTCTCTGAGAAGTCTTGAGGATTTGTACACATCCAGCCTGTACCAGTCCAGGTCCTTAACTGCAGAGTGACTTGTCCCTGTGGGTTTGGCCTTGCATTGTTCTGCCGAGCACTGCCTAAGATTAAACTGCTCACTTTAGGCATTTTTAAGAGTAGTTTCTGTTACCTTTGTCAGAGCCAGAAATCCAAGGGACTGGAAGCAGTGATTTCAGTACACTTCTCTCTGAACATGAAGCAGTGTGGTTAATGGTTACACACACACACACACACACACACACACACACACACACAAAACCCTCTCTTTCAGCTACATAAGGCAATAGGGTGCTTTCCATTAGAAATAAAAATGTAGGGCCAGCAGGTAGAAGGCACTGGATTTCATATGACTGATTCTGCAGTTCCAGTCCCAGACCTAGTGGCTTCAAAAACATGCCAGGCATGCCTGCCCAAAATCCTAAGAGGAGAATGGAGGAGATGGGATTGCAGTGTTGCTATCCTCCCTGGGGAGATGATTTCTCACTTTCCCTCTCTTTCAGTCTTGGTCTCTTTCTTACAAGTGTATGTGCTCTATGGCAAAATGTAAAAACAAACAAGAAATAAAAATGTCAAGATTCTTCAAGAACCATTAGTATGTTAAAGGAGTCTTTACATTCATTGTGTTGACTTTTTCTATAATTAAGAAATATTTGAGGTGAGAGATGCATAATTATTTGCTAACTAAAAACTTTGTGCGTGTGCTTTTTTTAAAGGTACATGGGAATAGGACTGTCAGCTCAAGGCGTCAACATGAATAGACTTCCTGGTGAGTCACTGTTTCAGAGAACATTTGTTCTTCTGTCCTGATTGGTTCTGTGGTAGGGTCATGGTGGCAGCTGAGAGGCTAGGGAGAACTTAGTCTGCTGACCACGTATCTCAAGCTATTGGTAAAAGGCGAAAGATTTATATGATCTGAAGAGAAACCGGAGTATTATCTCAAGCTATTGGGTAAAAGATCCTGGAAGGCAACCATTGGGCCAGGATGGTATGGGCTTCCATTCCAAAAATTAATTGACAAGTGATTGTCATTCATGGAATTTGAACTGTTTGTAATCAAAACCAAGTGACCTGAGCTTGCTCCCAGTGGGGATACGCCTCAGTACCCCTCACTCCTATTGGCTTTTGCTGACTGGGACTCAGGCATGTACTGGGAGGAACACGACTGCCAACCTGGCTCCTTTGTTATTTCACCATGTTAAAGATCAAAGTCTCTAAGTGGCCTCACACGTGGAATGTGGTAGAAGCAATTTCTCTCTTTCTTTCTTTCTCTCTTTCTTCCTTTCTTTCTTTTCTTTTTTTTTTTTAAACTTTGCTATAGTGCATGTGCATTCACCAAGAGAAAGTGAGAAATTTCTCCCAAGCCACACCACAATCCCTGCTCTCCTATTTTCTCAATATTTTGGACATGCACATAAATGTATCTAGCATGTCTTTCAAGCTGCTAGATTTGGGTTTTGACCTGTATAGTAGGCCATGTGGGATCCAGCTGCCTTAACCACCATGCCACTGACTGGCCCGTGGTTTCCTAATAAATAAGAGGATGTGTGTGTGATCTGTCATCTGCAGAATGCTCTGAGCCTTACAGATGACCCTCTTCTACCAGCCTGACTCATACTCAGTCCTGAATTGGAGACACGATCCTCTACTATGAGCTGATGGGTTCCAGAAGATAGTTCTATGTCCCTTTGTCCCTTTAGTGGCAGAAGTGACATGGCACAACCTGCCCTTGACCATCATGGAGGCAGGCAGAATCCTTGTTTTCTCTGGTCTTCTCCTCTTTGTCTGTGACACAGAGAAGGCAACTGACTTTCTTCACAAGGGGAGTAACACTTGAACGTTCTGTCTTTTCCAATCTGTGTTTAGTATCAGTCATTGATTTTTCTCTAATGGACTGATTTCAAATACTGACAAGGTAGACTCACTTATAATTTAACTGATTGTCAGGAATCTGACTTGTTTTGTTTTGCTTTGATCGGAGTGAAAATGAGTCTTTCCTGGTTGGTCAGAAAGTGTGGCATGTGTGACCTCTTTGGGTAGCTTCTGACTATGCTCTTTGTTACTTAAGCTCCTAGCCTTGACTTAGTTGTGTCTATGGTATCTGTAGCTCTGCCTTTGAACAAGGAAAAATAATTTATTTTAAGGATAAACTGATTCTTCCACTTATTCTTCCTCTAAATGTGTTCTTTGAACTTTTATACTGCTTTGGTAGTAGAGAAAAGAGGCTTTAATGGGTTTAACATAGAAAAGTAACTACGCAGTCTGTTACTAGTTGGCACTTTAAGCAACTATGAATGTTGGTTAAATAAAAATTTAAAAATTTGTTCAAAAGAAAACTATGCAACCATAAAAAGATGGAGGGGGCTTTTTAGGTGCTGAATTGGAATAATCCGTAGGATTTATTGTTAAGGGAAAACTAGAATTCATGAAACACTGTATAGTGGGCTAACAGGTGGCACAGTGGAACTCACATGGCTAACTCTGTGGTTCAAGTCCTGAACCAGCAACTTGAAAAACTTGCTGGATACATGTGCATACGTGCCCCAAATCCTGAGAGGATGGAGAAGAAGAGATTGTGGCATGACCATCCCCCCCCTGTTTCTGTGTCTCTCTTTGCCTCTCTCCAGCCAGCGCAGGTACCCTATGGCAAAAATCTAAAAACAAAACAAACACCATATAACATGCTACCAAATATGCAAAACACACAAAAAAGACAGAAAACAAACATATCTGTATCTACTTGTATGTGCGAAGAACACCTTTGGAAAGCTACAGAAAAACTTGTGTTGTTGGCTGTCCCTAGGGAAGGGATAGGTGACTGGGGATAGGACTAAAAAGCAAAATGTTCTATTTTTGAAGCTTTTGAGTTTTTTTTTTTTTTTTGCGTGTGTGTGTGTGTGTGTGTGTGTGTGTGAATTTTTGATCTGTTTTAAAAATACAAATGAGGGGCCAGCAGATGGCATGGTGGTTAAAGGCACTGGATTCCCACATGGCCGACTATAGTTTGAGTCCTGGACTTGGCGGCTTGCTTTCTCACTTTTCCTTTCTCTCTCTTTCTCTGGTCTAATTAAAAAACGATAATAACAAATGGAATAAATAAATAAATAATTCTCTTTTTTTTTGGAGAGGTTTTTGCTATAGGGTGCTTGCGCTCGCCAGACAGACAGAGAGAGACAGAGAGATAGAAAGCGAGAAATCACCCCTCAGGGGGGATGGCCACACCGCAATCCCTTCTCCTCCATTCTCCTCTTAGGATCTTGGTTACGCACATACACGCGCCCGGTGTGAGTTTGAAGCCACCGGGTCCGGGACGCGAACCACGGTCAACTACATGGGAGTTCAGCAACATAGCCATTACGCTAACTGCTGGTCCCAATAAATAAATAATTCTTTAAAACTACAAATGAAATTAAACAGAAGCAAATGCCCCTACATCAGGAAACCATCACTTTTGTCTCTCAGGTGGTTTTGGGTATAGCCTTTTACCATGTGCTGGGTTTGGCATTCTGGGGTCCATATGCTCATCCTCCTTCAGTAAACACTGTTTTTGCACGCCCCATCGAGTTTAGAATCCAGAGTGAAGTAGACCAGGTAGGGGATGTCTAGGTCTGCCTAAGCTCTCCTTGGGGCCAGCCTAGTCTGTTTCCCTTTTTTGGAAAATGAGATTTTTTTTTTCCTTTTTTTTTTGGAGAGGTTTTTGCTATAGGGTGCGTGTGCTCGCCAGACAGACAGAGAGAGACAGATAGAAAGCAAGAAATCATCCCCCCAGGGGGGATGGCCACGCCACAATCCTTTCTCCTTCACTCTCCTCTTGGGATCTTGAGCACGCACGCACACATGCCTGGCGTGAGTTTTAAGCCACCGGGTCTGGGACTTGAACCACGGTTGACTACGTGGGAATCCAGCTACATAGCCATTACGCTAACTGCTGGTCCCAGAAAATGAGATTTTTAATTCCTCTGAGCTGGTCTAAGGCCAGCTGCCAATCACGTACTTTGCTAATGTAAAATGTAAATTTACAGGGGAATCGCTAATGTAAAATTACAGGGGAATCCATTTTTGGCCCTTGTGAAGTCAAACTCAACCGAGGCAGAAAGGTGGACCTATGAAAAGAAGGGACTGAGAGATGATGGATGAGGTGTGTTGGCCTCACGCTGACACATCAGGACAGTTGACACCTTTTTCTGGTCCTCGCTGGTGCATCTCTTTTTGACATGAAGAAGAGGCCTAAGTGTTCAGGGGATATTGCACTTGTCTTTATTTTCACTCTGCCTGCCAGCTCCTCAGGGCTTTCCTTCTGCCATATCTGATCATCTCTCCGATTATTCCTTCAGGTGGAAAGTAGGAGTCAGACTGCATCTAGATAGGGCTTCTCTCTGGGAAGGATAGATACCCCTGGCTTTCCCAGGGTATGGGGCTGGCTACATTTCTAGTTGGATATGGCACAGGATAGACATGGGGATGGAATAAAGGACACTCTTCTCAGGAGTGATGATAGGTTTGGAATATCAGAATCTCCTTTGGTTCTTTCTACTTTCTGGATATCCCCTGCCCCTTTTTTAGTTGAAAAAAAAAAAAAAAAAGGACTGAAAGCATGATCATTCCTAAACAGACCTGATACTGTTTTACATATTTGTCAGTTGGGAGGTAGGAGGATGATAGCAGCTAAAGCTTTTCTTCCAACTGCTTCTGATTTCCAGTAAGCCATTGGTTGAGATGAAGGCTAATTGAACTGTTTGAACTGTTTGGATATGTGGTTGGTGGAAGGGGTGGTGGTGGGGGTGGTAGCCTTGTCTAGGTTCAGATTTTGAAGCTTTGGTATTAACTTCAGAAGAAATGTTTGAGGGTCTCTCCTGGTCTACTGGCCATCAGTTGGGGTTTCAGCAGTTGTTTGCAGGTCAATGTTGCATTTGGCCCCATTGGCTCAGAGGGGCTTTGTGAACATTCACACCCTCCTCTGAGATAAGTGTGTGCACATATAGTTGGCATACACATTCTTGCTTCCCGTTTGACCATCAGCAAGTAGTTCATGTGGAGCCATTTGACCAACCTTTCCGCCTTACTGAAAATTTGTATTTGTCTGGAGGAGTTTGTTATTTCTTTTTTTTTTTCTTCCCCCTTCTACTAATAGGGTGAGTGTGCTTGTGACAGAGAGAGAAAGAGAGAGAGAGAAATTACCCCTCAGGGGGATGGTCACACCACAATCCCTTCTCTATTCTCCTCTCAGAATTTCAGGCATGCAAGCACACACATCTGGCAAGCTGCTGGGTCCTAGACTCAGTCAAGCAGTTGGCCATGTGGGATTCAGCTTCTTTAAGCACCATGTCACCTGGCTGACCGGGAGTTTGCTGTTTTGACGAACATTCAGAGACATCTTTGTGCAAAGTGCATATTTTTGCTTTAGATATTATTTATAAGAAGTATTGGGACTAGTAGTTAGCATAATGGCTATGTCGCTGGACTCCCATGTAGTCGACCGCGGTTCGCGTCCCTGACCCGGTGGCTTAAAACTCATGCCGGGCACATGTGCGTGCGTGCCCAAGATCCTGAGAGGAGAATGGAGGAGAAGGGATTGCAGCGTGGCCATACCCCCTGGGGCGTGATTTCTCGCTTTCTGTCTCTCTGTCTCTCTCTGTCTGTCTGGCGAGCGCATACACCCTATGGCAAAAACCTCTCAAAAAAAACACAAAAAACAGAAGTATTGTCTGGGACCAGCAGTTGGTGTAATAGCTGGCTATGTTGCTGGACTCCCATGTAGTCGACTGCGAT